ATTGCTTCTAGACATTGCTTATGAAGAGGATCAGCTGTCCTCCTCCTCTTTTCATTTGTCTGAAAAGGAGTACTCACGGGTGTCTATTGAGATTCTGGTGAGGGTGAAGATGGTGGGGGAGATGTTGACAAGTACCTTCCAGATGTGTTTGATGTTTGATGTCTGGAGAACTTGTAGGAAATAAAGGAGTGAGTTCCAGCACCCAAACAGTGAATCTCTTATAATCATCATTATCTTTTGAACTTAAAAGGTTTTCCATTGCCAATGAGGATCTTAGAGGCTAAAACGCAAACAGAAACTTTATGAAAGTACAATGGTATAAAATAAAGTAATTGATATACTGAAATGTATATATGTAATAGTAAAATGATCTTACAAAAATAACAATGAATATGTATCATGAGCATTATCACTGGCATTTATTACAAACTTAAATAATTTTCCTTAATCTATATTCTGTAATGAAATAGATTTTTATATACAAATGTACTTTTATATATGTTTATAAAAACGTGTGTGTGTGTGTGTGTGTGTGTGTGTGTGTGTTGTGTGTGTGTTGTGTGTGTGTGTGTGTGTGTGGTGTGTGTGTGTGAGAGAGAAAGAGAGAGAGAGAGAGAGAGAAGAGTGAGTGAGTGAGTAAGTTAGGTAGTTAACTAGTTAGTTAGTTTGTGGTGCATGTATTATGTTTACTAGTTAAAAGAACTGCTATGCACATGAAAGATACAACTCTAGTAATCTTGAGAGAACAAGCCTGAAACTCATCTCAGTATAAAGGATCTGGCTTGGTTATCTGAGATAAATGATCATGGTATCCTTGATGAAGGAGTTGGCATCAAACAGTTCCCATTGTGATTGGTATCCTCCAGCTGATCCTTAAGGGACAACCTGACTTTTTCTATACTCCTTCAGGAAGTAGGTCCTCATGTTGTATTCTTCCCTCTGGGCTGGGCCTTCCTGGAGGGGGCGTGCCTAAGCCTGTCAGGGCTGGAGGGGGCGTGGGCCTTAAGCCTGTCAGGGCTGAAGAGAGGCGTGCCTTAAGCCTGTCAGGGGCTGGAGGGGGGCGTGCGCTTAAGCCTGTCAGGGGCTGGAGGGGGGCGGCCTTAAGCCTGTCAGGGGCTGGAGGGGGGCGTGGCCTTAAGCCTGTCAGGGCTGGAGGGGGGCGTGGCCTTAAGCCTGTCAGGGGCTGGAGGGGGGCGTGCCTTAAGCCTGTCAGGAGGCTGGAGGGGCGTGGCCTTTTAAGCCTGTCAGGGCTGGAGGGGGCTGGCCTTAAGCTGTCAGGCTGAGAGGGCTGGCCTTAAGCCTGTCAGGGGCTGGAGGGGGGGCCGGCCTGGGCTGGAGGGGGGCGTGGCCTTAAGCCTGTCAGGGCTGGAGGGGGCGTGGCCTTAAGCCTGTCAGGCGCAGGCGTGGCCTTAAGCTGTCAGGGGCTGGAGGGGGGCGTGGCCTAAGCTGTCAGGGGCTGGAGGGGCGTGCCTTAAGCCTGTCAGGGCTGGAGGGGGGCGTGCCTTAAGCCTGTCAGGGGCTGAAGAGAGGCGTGCCTTAAGCCTGTCAGGGGCTGGAGGGGGGCGTGGCCTTAAGCCTGTCAGGGGCTGGAGGGGGCGTGGCCTTAAGCTTGGAGGGGGGCGTGGCCTTAAAGCCTGTCAGGGGCTGAAGGGGGCGTGGCCTTAAGCCTGTCAGGGGCTGGAGGGGGCGTGGCTTAAGCTCTGGGGCTGGAGGCGTGCCTAAGCCTGTGCTTGGGAACCTGTCAGGGGCTGGCGTGGCCTTAAGCCTGTCAGGGGCTGGAGGGGGGCGTGGCCTTAAGCCCTGTCAGGGGCTGGAGGGGGGCGTGGCCTTAAAGCCTGTCAGGGGCTGGAGGGGGCTGTGGAGGGCTAGGCGTGGCCTTAAGCTGTCAGGGCTGGAGGGGGCGTGGCCTTAAGCCGTCAGGGCTGGAGGGGGCGTGCTTAAGCCTGTCAGGCTGGGGGGCGTGCTTAAGCCTGTCAGGGGCTGGAGGGGGCGTGGCCTTAAGCCCTGTCAGGGGCTGGAGGGCGTGGGCCTGGCTGAGGGGGGCGTGGCCTTAAGCCTGTCAGCGGGCTGGGGGGCGTGCCTAAGCCTGTCAGCGCTGGAGGGGGGCGTGGCCTTAAGCCTGTCAGGGGCTGGAGGCGTGGCCTTAAGCCTGTCAGGGGCTGGAGGGGGGCGTGGCCTTAAAGCCGTCAGGGCTGGCCTTAAGCCTGTCAGGGCTGGAGGGGGGCGTGGCTTTAAGCCTGTCAGGGGCTGGAGCCGGCGCTGGCCCCGTGGCCTTAAGCCTGTCAGGGGCAGCGGGCCTGAAGCGGCTGAGGGGGGCGTGGGCAGGGGCTGAGAGGGGCGTGGCCTTAAGCCTGTCAGCGCGGCTGGAGGGGGGCGTGGCCTTAAGCCTGTCAGGGGCTGGAAGAGAGGCGTGGCCTTAAGCCTGTCAGGGCTGGAGGGGCGGGCCTGGGCTGAGGGGGGCGTGGCCTTAAAGCCTGTCAGGGCTGGAGGGGGGCGTGGCCTTTAAGCCTGTGCTGGCGTGGCCTAAGGAGAGCGTGGCCTTAAGCCTGTCAGGGGCTGGAGGGGGCGTGGCCTTAAGCCTGTCAGGGGCTGGAGGGGGGCGTGGCCTTAAGCCTGCGTGGCTTAAGCCTGTTGTGCCTTAAGCCTGGGGCTGGAGGGGGGCGTGGCCTTAAGCCTGTCAGGGGCTGGAGGGGGGGCGTGGCCTTAAGCCTGTCAGGGGCTGGAGGGGGGCGTGGCTTAAGCCTGTGAGGGGCTGGAGGGGGGCGTGGCTTAAGCCTGTGAGGGGCTGGGGGGCGTGGCCTTAAGCCTGTCAGGGGCTGGAGGGGGGCGTGGGCTTAAGCCTGTCAGGGGCTGGAGGGGGCGTGGCTTAAGGGGCTGGCGAGTGAAATGATCGGGCGATGTAAGCGGAAGCCGAAAGGGCTGGAGGGGGGCGTGGCCTTAAGCCTGTCAGGGCTGGAGGGGGGCGTGGCCTTAAGCCTGTCAGGGGCTGGAGGGGGGCGTGGCTTAAGCCTGTGGGCTGGGGCTGGAGGGGGGGAGTGGATCGTTCGATGCTAGCATGTCTCTCGGATCAGCCGAAAGGGGCTGGAGGGGGGCGTGGCCTTAAGCCTGTAGGGGCTGGAGGGGGGCGTGGCCTTAAGCCTGTCAGGGGCTGGAGGGGGGCGTGGCCTTAAGCCTGTCAGGGGCTGGAGGGGGGCGTGGCCTGCCTGAGGGGCGGGGGGCGTGGCCTTAAGCCTGTAGGGGCTGGAGGGGGCGTGGCTAAGCCTGTCAGCGGCTGGAGGGGGGCGTGGCCTAAGCCTGTCAGGGGCTGGAGGGGGGCGTGGCCTAAGCCTGTCAGGGGCTGGAGGGGGCGTGGCTTAAGCCTGTGGGCTGGGGCTGGAGGGGGGCGAGTGAAATGATCGATAATTATAAGGACACATCGATGCCCACTCGCAGAACCAGCATGTCTCTGATCAGCCGAAGCCATCGAACGGCTGGAGGGGGGCGTGGCTTAAGCCTGTCAGCGGCTGGAGGGGGGCGTGGCCTTAAGCCTGTCAGGGGCTGGAGGGGGCGTGGCTTAAGCCTGTCAGGGGCTGGGAGGGGGGGCGTGGCCTTAAGCCTGTCAGGGGCTGGAGGGGGGGCGTGGCCTTAAGCCTGTCAGGGGCTGAGGAGGGCGTGGCCTTAAGCCTGTCAGGGGCTGGAGGGGGGCGTGGCCTTAAGCCTGTCAGGGGCTGGAGGGGGCGTGGCCTTAAGCCTGTCAGGGGCTGGAGGGGGGCGTGGAGCCTGTTGGGCGTGGCCTTAAGCCTGTCAGGGGCTGATCAGCCGAAACCCATCGAACGGCTGGGGGGGCGTGGCTTAAGCCTGTGGGCTGGAGGGGGGCTTGGCCCAAAGCCTGTGGGCTGGGGCTGGAGGGGGACCATGTGGCTTAAGCCTGTCAGGGGCTGATATATATATATATATATATATATATATATATATATATATATATATATATATATATATATATAATATATATATATATAATATATATAATATATATATATATATGTGTGTGTGTGTGTGTGTGTGTGTGTGTGTGTGTGTGTGGTGTGTGTGTGTGTGTGTGGTGTGTGTGTGCGCGCGGGCGCGTGTATATATATATATATATATATATATATATATATATATATATAATATATATATATATATATATATATACATATACACGCCTTTGTATAACAAACGCCTTTAAGAACAGGTCAGAAGAAAGTCTCGCTATGATTATTACAAGAAGGAGACTCGCCAGCGTCACAACACTCACAGCTATGACAGTGCAAACTACGATGCTGATTATTATTATTATTATATTAATAGAATAATGATGAAAATGATAATAATAAATAATAATAATAATAATAAAATGATAATGATAAAATGATAAAATAATAATAAATAATAAATAAATTAATAATAAATAAATAATAAAATAGTAATAATAAAATAATGATAAAATAATAATAAAATAATGATAAAATAATAATAAAATAATAATAATAATAATGATTAGCCAATTTGCATTCCCCAAGAAAATCTATCAACACAAAAGGACAAACATAACATAAACATAGCCAGCGTTACGGACACTGCCAGGACTAAAACTTTTTTTTTTTTTTTTTTTTTTTTTTTTTTGAAAGGGAATTTCCACCTGCAGATCCTGACGCCACAGCCTCGCAGAGATGGAACAGTTTTAGGGGGGGGGGACGAAAAGGAATACAGACTGGTACGAAGCCAATCTCCAGGAAATGGAACAAGTTACAGTTCTCTCTCCCTTTCCCTCTCCTTCTCTCTCTCTCTGTCTGTCTCTCTCTCCTCTATGCCTCTCTCTCTCTCTGTCTGTCTGTCTCTCTCTCTCTCTCTCTCTCTCTCTCTCTCTCTCTCTCTCTCTCTCTCTCCTCTCTCTCTCTCTCTCTCTCTCTCTCTCTCTCCTCCCCATCTCAGAGGCTCTGTCAGCAAAGAACTTCCCAAGATCTGAGATATTCCAAAGC